ATGAATAGAAAAGGACTGAAGGTCAGGAACGGTGGCTCACGCTTATAATCCCACCACTTTGGGAGGCCAAGGTAGGTGGATCACCTGAGGTCAGGAGTTCAAGACCAGCCTGACCAACATGGTGAAACCCCATCTCTGCTAAAAATATAAAAATTTAACTGGGCCTGGTGGCACACGCCTGTAATCCCAGCTACTCGGGAGGCTGAGGCAGGAGAATCGCTTGAACCCGGGAGGCAGAGCTTGCAGCGAGCTAAGGCTGTGCCACTGCACTCCAGCCTGGGCGACAGAATGAGACTCCAGCCAAAAAAAAAAAAAGGAAAGAGACTGAAGGGTGAAGCAGGGTGGGCACTCTGGAAGGCCTGAGAGGCAACCCAGTTGAGAGGAAAGGGCACAGATTCCAGGCAGATGGCCCAAGTTTGACATCTAGTATCCCCTTGGTGAGATTCCCTATATTGAACCTGAGCCTCAGCTTCCTCACCTGTGAAATGGAGATCACACTTTTCATTCAGGGTGGTCACACTGAGTGAAATAATGTGAACAAAATTATTAGAGCAGGTGCTCAGAAACAGTCACTATAGCAATATTCTCCTACTGTAACCTTACCCAACCTTCGCGACCACCTCCAGGGCACCTTTCCCCATTCCCTCCCTGGACCAGAAGCTCCTTGAAGGCAGGAGCGCGTCTGACTCATCCTTGGATCCCTGCCCCCATCTTCTCACAGACAGCCTGGCACATTCTAAGAGCTCAGTAAACATCTGTGGAATTGAAAGCAAGTGCACAAGTAATTATAGTAACTGGTAAACTGAAGAATGTTTTTGTGGAGAATAGAGAAGTCACTGAGTCCAAAACAATCAAATGACAAAGATGGGTCAAAAGAACAACACCTATGCTATGGTTCACTCCTGTCCCCAGAAGCGTCTGAGGACATATCCACTTAGAAACACATTAAAATGCAGGCTTTTTTTTTTTTTTTTGAGATGGAGTCTTGCTCTGTCACCCAGGTTGGAGTGCAATGGCACTACCTCAGCTCACTGCAACCCACTTCCCGGGTTCAAACAATTCTCCTGCCTCAGCCTCCTGAGTAGCTGGGATTACAGGTGCCCGCCACCATGCCTGGCTAATTTTTGTATTTTTAGAGATGGGGTTTCATCATCTTGGTCAGGCTGGTCTCAAACTCCTGACCTCAGGTGATCCACCTGCCTCAGCCTCCCAAAGTACTGGGATTAAGGCGTGAGCCACCGTGCCTGGCCTCTTTTGATTACAAATAGTATTTCCAGGCAACAAAGCAGCTTGTGATAAGTAATAGGCAGGGGGTTTCTCACTGTGTTGTCCATGCTGGAGTGCAATGGTGTGATCTCAGCTCACTGCAACCTCCGCCTCCCGGGTTCAAGCAATTCTCCCTGCCTCAGCCTCCCAAGTAGCTGGGATTACAGGCACCCACCACCACGCCCAGCTAATTCTTTGTATTTTTAGTAGAGACAGGGTTTCACCCTGTTGGCCAGGCTGGTCCTGAACTCCTGACCTCAGGTGATCCACCCGCCTCAGCCTCCCAAAGTGCTGGGATTACAGGCATGAGCCACTGTGCCCAGCCTAGGCAGGTTTTTAACCAGCACTTATTTCAGGTTTTATGGACCACATAGTACTTCCATATACATGATAACACACAACAATTTTGTGAACTAGGTAAGTTACTGATCAGTCTCATCCCCATGCGGTAGATGAGGGAACAAGGGTGAGCACTTTTGTGATTAAATATGGAGCCACAAAACTAAGGCATAACCCTGGATCTTTTAGAGCTAAATCCACCGTATCTTTTCCTATACCACGACCACACCACACCACCCCTTGAGTAGATGAATAGATAGATGTGAAATAGTACATGTACTCAGTGATGGGCAAAACATAACGCACAGAACCATGGCTGAATTTTCAACTGCAGCCAAGCAATCTGGGTAGGGTCTCTTCAGAAGCTACCACAGCATCTTGACAAGGGTGGAGGATGTCACCCTGTCCTCCATGTGGCAAAGACGGACCCTCTCCTACAGAGAAAAAGAGACAGGTCTGTCGAGCTGGCCTTCTCCCTGCTTCTGAAGTCTTAGTAATGGAGTTTTCTATCACTTAGTTAAGTCACTAACCCCCATAGGGCCTTATATAAATTTTTAAATATAATTTTTGAATCTATAATACAGAGAGTTTTAAATTTTTCTAAGTATAAAAAAAAAACCCTCAATACCACCTCTGTGCCCCTTCCTCCTCATCCTCATCTTCATTCCCCACCACCAATTTCCTGCTTCTCCCTTGGATTTAGTTTCAGGTGAGAGGATCCCTTCTCTCCACTGCTTTCCGGGAGCCAGAGGTCTGCGTCCTTCATGCCAGCAACCCCAAGGCCAAACAGAGGCCAGGGGATCAATAAGCACTTGCTGGAGGGGAAAGGCCAGACTGAATGGAGGAATCAATCTCTGGGAGTTGTCCAGGGTCGAGGGCCTCCTACTGACACCTGTGCTGAGCACCAGTGGGAAATCAGTCGCCTTTGCTCAGAGGGCGGAAGGGTCAGAGGGGCAGAGGGGCAGGTGCACCTGGGGCACCTGCTCCTAGTTAGGTGCAGAACTAAAGGGACAGACACCTCCAGGAGTGGTGATGACCTCACCCTTGACCTCTGTCTTCTGCATCACTGAAGAAAGAGCACTTTTGCATAAAGACTGTAGAAGACCCCACTGCACTGTTCTAGAAAACAAGGTGTTCACAGAGATGATAAGCACAAAGAAATGGAAGGAACTCCTCTTCCAACTCCCTGCCTCACACTTCTCTACCAGTCACCCTGAATGACTGGAGATTATTCTGCCCCATCTGCACCATGGCCTCATTTGACCTGACTTCTGGGGAAGTGCCTACAAACAGGCCTGGTGTGAAGGGCAGGCTCTGGCCAGGGAAAGGCCTTCCTCAGGACCAGCACTAGCTCCTGTTTGCAGATGGTCCAACTCACTGACTGAGAAGGGGGTGTGCACGTTGCCGAGAAAGTGGACTAATATTTTTGGGAAGTTTTAATTTGCTTCAATTAAAAATTGAGGACAGTTCTAAGCAAAACAGAAGTAGGTGAATTTATTTTCTGGGCCTCTGCACAGATCTTTCTGGGCCCTCAGCCTCTGCAGGCATTTCCAAGGGGCCTCTACCCCAGCCAGCATTTCCCAACTAGCCGGTTCCATAACTCCTACCGTTTCCTCCCCACTCTCCCACCAAAGCAGGCCAGACCTGCCAGGGAGAAACTAATCTTAGAAATCAATCTTTTTTGTATGTGTGAGATGGAGTCTCGCTCTGTCACCCAGGCTGGAGTACAGCGGCGCAATCTCGGCTCACTGCAAGCTATGCCTCCCGGGTTCACGCCATTCTCCTGCCTCAGCCTCCCAAGTAGCTGGGACTACAGATGCCCACCACCACCGCTAATTTTTTGTATTTTTAGTAGAGATGGGGTTTCACCGTGTTAGCCAGGATGGTCTCAATCTCCTGTCCTCATGATCCGCCCACCTCGGCCTCCCAAAGTGCTGGGATTAGGCGTGAGCCACCGTGCCCGGACCAATGTTTGCCCGGGCCAATCTTTTTTTTAAATGGAATTGAGTGGCTTAATTACCCTTTTCTGGGGAAAATTGTGTACATGCACTGAGATTTCTGAGCAGATACACAAAAAATGGGTAAGAATGCTTGAATCTAGAGTTAGGGGGTCAGGCATATGAGAGCAACACACTACATTCTTAAGTGCAGTGTACATTTTTTTTTTCCTGTATACATTATCTTTCAAATAAATTTTAAATAATTTTAAATAAATGTAAAAGTACAGGATTTTCAATGACCCCTTTTCATTTTTAAATACTTCACCCCATGGATTTAGAGATGTAGTGGCCTGGTTAGGCCAGGCAACCCTTCCCACAACCTTTCCAGGTGGAAGTCCCCGGTGACACAGCCCTAGTCCTGCTGTCCCACCAAGCAGTCGGGTTACAAAGTGGTCAAGGACATAGGCCTGACACAAAAAAGTGAGCTGGATTAATCATTCTGCCTCACTTCAGAACAGGAACCAAGAACCACGGCCTCTGCACAACTGTGTGGCTGCAATGATTTCCATTGTGTTCATTCTTTGATACAAGAAACAGATCTCAGCCCAGCTCAAGTTGGAATCAGGGTTTGTTTAGTTGGAACTCTTGGTGGCTCATACTTGCTTCAAATTATCTTAAGCCATAGAAACGGGGAGGGGAGGGCTTCCTTTTTAGCTTATGTTACCTGAAATCACAGGGGTTTCTGTCTTTGCACACAACTAGACCCAGGGGCTTCAAAGATATCCCCAGGATCTGGCCCTGATCTCTCCACCCGGGTCGTCTTCCTCTCTCTCTCATGGCTCCACTTTAGGAAAGCGCCTCCCCAAAGCCAGCAGCTCCAGGCTTATCCTCTCAGCAACCCTGAAAGGAAACTTGCCTCTTTCTTTGTTACTCTAGTCAAATGCCTGCGCTGGGCCTTCATAAGCCAAACCAAGTCACATGAGGATATCTGAACCAATCACTGGGGCCAGACTTGGAGACAAGAGGTAAGGCAGGGGGGCTGACCATCCAGGCCTCCGGGCTGAGTGAGGCGGTGCTGAGAAGGCAATGGCAGGAAGCAAAGGTCACCACTCAACTCCACACATCCTCTCCCCAGACACTCTCTGCGAGGGCCTGAAGTCCTCACTACTTCCCACATAAAATTCAAGAGAGCGGGACTCTGTGTGGCCCGGCACCAATTCCATGCCAGGCCACATGACAAGTCACTGCCAGCTTGGGGCTGTGTGCCCGTGGGTCATGAGTTCTACTGGACCCCCACGCTGGGACCACAGTTGGGCTGGAGATGGGGTCTCATGGTACAAACAAGGCTGACTGGAGCTGCCCATTCAGGAAAGGTGATGGACGGGACAGCTTCTGTCAGAAGAGGTCAGGGGAACGGCAGGCCTTATGAGTGACATCTAAGTACCACACATGACCTATGAGTTGGAAACAACTTTATTGATACCTGAGAAAAAGTGCAGGAAAAATATTCCTCCTGACCACGTGGCCTGTCCCCTGAGGCCAGTTCATTCTCTCGCCTCTCCCTTAAGCCCTGGGTCATTTGGTGCCTCACTGGCTAGTACCCAGAGGCTGAACAAGTCCACAGCCAGAGCCTGGAAGCCAGACCCAGAGACCAGCAGAGGGAATGTCTACAGTGTGGCTCCTGAGGTCAGGGCCAAGGTCGGCGTGGGACCCTCATCGGTCAAGGGCCAGCGCCTCTTGGATCACAGTCCGGAGTCCGATGGAAAACAGCTCCTCCCACGGTTCCCGGATCCAGGCAAGCAGGGCTGTCAGCTGCTCCTGACACACTACACGGAGTGCCCAAAAGCTCTCCAGCCGGGACACCTGGCAGAGCGAGCAGTTAGCAAGGCGAGGCTCATGGGGACCACATCAGGGTGGGCCCAGGGGAGGTCTCCGGGAAGGCCTCACTGTCTCCACGTTGGCTCAGGGCCTCACCCCCCCCAGGCCCGTGTCACTCCGCATAAAAGATCCTGACTCTGAGCTTTGTAAACAGAATCCAGTCAACGTTTACTGAAAGCCCCCAGAGGACCTGTCTCTTTCATCTTCCCTGTTGTACAGAAGATGCGGACACAATTTCAGGGGACAGTGGATTCAATTCCCGGCTCCACCACTTTGGCCTGGGCAAACTGGTTAACAGCCCCAAGCCTCAGCTTCCTCATCTGTAAATAGGACCAGTAACAGTATCTCCCCAGGTGGTGGTCACAAAGGCCAAACGGCTGGCATACAACCGGCCCAATCCTGCCAACTCAAAGCTGCCGGAAACCTCACTGAAAGCCTCACAGCTGGCCGGGCGCGGTGGTTCACGCCTGTAATCCCAGCACTTTGGGAGGCCGAGGCGGGCGGATCACGAGGTCAGGAGATCGAGACCATCCTGGCGAAACCCCGTCTCCACTAAAAAATACAAGAAAAATGAGCCGGGCGAGGTGGCGGCGCCTGTAGTCCCAGCTACTCGGGAGGCTGAGGCAGGAGAATGGCATAAACCCAGGAGGCGGAGCTTGCAGTGAGCCGAGATCGCCCCACTGCACTCCAGCCTGGGCGACAGAGCGAGACTCTGCCTCAAAAAAAAAAAAAGAAAGAAAGCCTCACGGCTAATAAATGGCTGGGCTCCCAGTCCAGGTGTCTCCCCCACCTACAGCTGCCTCCTTCTCTGACTTGGTGCTCATCCAAACCCAGAGTCCCCCAGTTCCTCCAACACCAGTTCTCTCATCTGTTTTTTGTTTTGTTTGGTTTGGTTTTGTTTTGTTTTGTTTTGTTTTTTTGAGACGGAGTCTCGCTTTGTCGCCCAGGCTGGAGTGCAATGGCACCATTTCGGCTCACTGCAAGCTCCGCCTCCTGGGTTCACGCCATTCTCCTGCCTCAGCCTCCAAGTAGGTGGGACTACAGGCGCCCACCACCACGCCCGGCTAATTTTTTGTATTTTTAGTAGAGATGGGGTTTCACCAAGTTAGCCAGGATGGTGTTCTCTCATCTGTAAGTGCCATCTTGCCGCCAATGCCCAGGGTTCCGAGACCCATTTCCCACCCTGCCCTCATGGCCCCAACCTGTGCTCGCCATCTCCCCTCCCTCCCTCTCTCACTAGACATACACACACACACACCTCATCGTAGAAGAGCAGCCGCAAGTCCTCAGGGGCTGAGCGGTAGAGCAAAATGGAGCTCAGGCTGCTGAGTGGCTGCTGCTCCCTGACACGCACAACAGGGCCTGGCCCGGAGGGAGGCACCTTCTCAGAGGAGGGAGGCACCTTCTCAGAGGCTTCGCCAGATGCTGCTAGGGGTGGGGGCTCTGCCAGGGGCCCTGCAGCATCCTCTTCTAACAGGAACAGGGTGGACGGAGTCAGCAACAGGGATACAAGGCAGGTGGAAGGGCCTGTAGGGAAAGAGGCACCCAGAGTGGAAGGTCATGGAGGGGCCCAGATTCCTGGGGCCAGCGTCCCAGTGCTGCTGGGGAGAAGAGGCGTGAACCACACTCAGGTGGGTCACAGAGCAGCCTGTGCCCCTGGGGCCAAGACCCTCCCTTTCCCAAGCTCCAGGCATCTCTAGTCTGGAACACCTCTGAGGCCTACCACCCTCCACTGTCCCACACCCACCCTACACAGAAACAAGGCTCCACCCTCGCCCTCTCTGACTGATGAGGCAGGGCCGACTCAGCCACGCTGCTCCACTTCATAGAAAGCCCGGGCCTGAGAGCAAAGGCTCTGGGTAACTGAGGATCCTGGGGGCCTCCTGACCCCGCCTAGAGAGAGTCAGGGCACACTGAGGCTGTTACTTGGCTATGCTCTCAAGTGAGAGGAAGTCCAGGTTCCAGGAACCGTCAGTGGCTACGAAGACACTGTACGGGTGCTGCGTGTGGGCCAGTGCCTGTGACAAGGTGGGGTACAGAGACCAGGGAAGCATCAGCAGCACAGAGGCCTCACCTTCAACCAGGAATGCCCGAAGATAGAAGAACTGGGGAGCCTCCAAGGATGAGTCTTTTTCCAGCAATGGCCTAGGGGGAACATGGCAGGCACAGGAAGATCCGCTAGGGGGTGGGAAGGACTTGGAGGGAGGGAAGTGGGAAGAAAGCCTTGCAGGGCGTTGGGAGGAGGCATTAGGGGCCCATGGGGGGCATGGCATGAGGACAGGTGGCTGCCCAGGACCTACTCAGCACAGAGCCATATCTGGTGCTCTGTGAAAAGAGGATTGAGCAGCAACCCCAGCCTCTGCCTCCTATCGACTCACCAGAGCCGGTGCTGGGGGGTGACCTCTTCCTCTGTGGCACTGACACAGTTCCTCCAGGCAGGGGGCAGAGACTGCAAGACACCTAGACAGAGCCAGGCCAGGGAACTTTAGAAGGCTCTGCTCTCCTCCAGCCTAAACTCACCACCTCTCAATCCCTTCCTGTTCTCCACATTTCTGGATTTGAGAAACTTCTACAAGGGACAAGTCCTGTTACCTCTCTGTCTCCGCTACTGGGCACCAGGTGGGGAGCTCGGCCCCAGGACCCTGCCCACCCTCCTGCCTTCCCTTCCCCCCTCACCAAGGAGCTCCTCTAGGAAGGCCCGGCAACGCCTGGCATCTCGGGGCAGCAGCACACAGCGGCCCGCCCCAGCTGCCCACTCCAGCTGCAGGCTCTGGCCTGCCAGGCCCAGCTCTATGCCACTCAGATCCTGCAGGGGAATGGCCAGGGTCAGCTGCAGCCAGCTAGCTGGAGGCTCACTGTGGAGAGGGGACAGAGCGATGGAGAAGAGTGAGGGTGGCAAACGACCTGGCCATCTCGGGGCAGCAGCACCACAGCGGGCCCGCCCCAGCTGGCCCACTCCAGCTGCAGGCTCTGGCCTGCCAGGCCCAGGCTCTGATGGCCGAC